TATTCCTGCCTTCATGGCACATGAAAATCCCCCCAATTCTGAAGCCTCATTGAAATGTAACAAGTAGATTTTCTAGTCCATCATTCATTAGTTAATGAAAACATTAGACAAACTGGAATTTTGGGTAGAACACATCTTGTGTAAATTCCTGGTCATCAGAGCAGTAGTGTTTCTTTCATCTATTCTTTTGTATTGCATATGAAGTGACATAAAGTATAGTCAGATTTTTGTGCAAATTCCCTTGGTACTTCTTAGAGGAAGCACTTGGTTTGTCAGCCCAGATCCCTCCGTTAATTCAGAGACTGTTGTATTCACTGCTCTCTATTAAGGAGACTTGCCTTAGGTTGCTGTGGGTTGTTGCAGTCAGCCTTTGCCAGAGGAGGAGAAATTTAATTTCATAAGTTTTGCTTTTCCAGTGAGAAGTTTTCCCTCCTCTCCTTGCACTAAGTAGCATATTATAGTGGAAGATATAAGCGAGGAATCCTAGGAATTACTCTATGAAGGTGAAAGACAAATGTACAGAATAACTACCAATTTGGAGCATTTGCTGTTATCTTTAATATATATTTTTTAATTTGAGGATTTACTTTTACTATGAGAAGTTAGACTTATTTTTTTTGTGTGTGTTAAAAATACTACCATGTTATTTGTATAACAGATTGGTTTGCCAAAAAAAGAGAGGAAAAACTACTAATAACAAAAGGGATTACTCTTTATAAATATTACTGTTAAAGAATGTCATTTAATCCACTGCTCTAATAAATTATTTTAAAATGTATTTTATTGCTATAATTTATTAAACAATAAGGAGACATTTTGGCTGCAAATAGTGATAACATCTCTGTAGAACTGTATTTGGATAGTAATTTTTTTCCTGACAAAGTAGATAATTAGGAATTATAAATTATGCTTGCACTCTTAGGCATGTTAGCTAAGACTGTAACAGGCTGTATGTTGTTCTTGGTGCCAAATCAGGTCTTGATTTTTAAAAATTCTAGCACTAAAACTCATGATGAGTTTGATTTTCTAGCAGCAAAGTAGAAGTGTATGACTTACCTGAGAGATTTAGGTAAAAACCTTGCCACCAGTTTGCATTTTTGAATGAAGTTGCTTTGTGTTTGTAGGTGAGAAAATTATTTTTGTCAGCCACTTTGCTGGCATCTTAACCTTGTTCCTAGTGGCCAGATAATCTCATTTCAAATGTTTGCTGCAAAAACAGCAATTTAAATTTTTTAGCAAGGTCACTGAATAGCTAAAATAAATTGCTTCTGTCCATGAGATTTTGTTCTTCCATAGGAAACTTGAAATCTGATGTCAAGCTAGCATAACAACTTTCACAGATGTGGGTAAACAAGTGTGCAATGTGTAATAAATAGGATATGATAAAATAGAGATCCTGATCTGTCCTGAGAGGCAGCTTCATAAATGCTTGGATCTCTTCACTTCCAGTGCCTCACAAGTGTGGGCAAGGGCTTTTTCCATCTCTGGCTTCCAGGGGCTTAGTGGGGGCTGGATCCTAGGCCATGCAGGAGTAAAGGAGGCTTTCCTCAGTTGCTCTAGGACAACCTGCATCTTTATTTTGTACTCTGAAAAAGAATAATAAAATCTTTGGGCTTCTCTGTCTTCCCTCTAACAGGAGTAGTTAATTAACAAGAATTAAAGCAACTGAGGTATCATTTGGTAGGATAGACCAGCTGCGCCAACCTCTCGTTAACCGGGATGCCCGGTTAAAGGCCGCTTAGGTTTGAAGTTGTTGCTGTTCGGATTATCCATGCTAATAAACATGGCTAATGTGCTGCCACATCCAGGAATATGTCTGTGCACACAGCTCTGTGCCCAGCCTGGGCAGGCCGTGGGAGCCAGCCCCAGTCTGGAAGCCATCAGCACGTTGTGTGGCACCGTGCCAGAGCTACAACACCTTGTCCCAGAGAGATGAGGCTTTGCAGCCTCTCAGCGGAGGCCACCTCACGTTTGGGTGCCTCCAAGAGTTTGCTTTTGATGTGTTCATCATCCCACGTGGCTGGGGAAGCGCTTCCCCAAAAATCCCCACCCTCGTGTTACGCAGTCGTTTCCTCCCAGCTCCACTTAAATTAACGACAAAGATTTAAAAAATATGTTGGCAATAATTTCGGGGTGGGGGGGGGGGCAGTTTAAACATATATGTGCTGTGGGTTTGATTCAAATCTTGGAGTGTCTCAGTGGACCACTTGTGGTGTCATTTGACAGCAGCTATTTCACATGACTATGAACCATCATTTCCTGGAAATGCTTGATATGAGTCATTATTTCCTGGAATAAAGTGTTTGGTTACATATTTTCCCAAGATAGGAAAATCCCCATCAGCTGAGAAAATACATGCTAGGGTCTGCAAAATTTTGTGGGTTTGGGGCTGCAGAGTGCAGATTTCTCAAAGCATGTTGACTGGCTCTCCTCTCCCATGAAAGGTTTAACCTCATCTGTTACTTTAAAGTGGGCTGGATGTGACAGAATCCTATTATCAGATGTTGAAATGATACCAAATAATTCAGTAGTTCTGACTCTTCTTCCTCACTGGTCATGTTTGTGTTTTTACTGACAACTTAGAGGCAGTGACATGATCTAAACTTCAGAGAAGTAAAATTTCAATATAGCTTCATGTCCTTTTCAACCTTTAATTGAATGATTTTATTAAATTTTTGGCTTTTTACAGCTGTAATATATGTTAAATAACTATATATAATTAAAAACCTCATAGGTGACAAGTATTTACTGTGGAATTTGCTGTTAGAGAGTAGACATATTCGGGCTGGCTGGCATGGAGTTAACCTACACAACTTAAGAATGAACCTAAATATATTCTAAATCCTTGGAAATTCTGAGATTTGGGTTTCTTTAACACTCAGAAAAAATAGGTAGGTAGGTTTGTGATGGTAGTATTAATCTTTATCTTGAGATATTATAACTGGAGTATTGTTACACTTATAACTAACTTCCTCTGTAATTTTATGTCATTGTGCTCTCAGAAAACTGCAGAGGAGGGAACCTTTTTTAATTTGGAAGAAGATATTCTATGCCTATATGCAATATGCTGTTTCCTTTTCTTTGGCTTTAAAGTCACAGAATACCTTTATTTCTGCCAGAGAACTTGTGTTATCATGCCTGACATCTGTGGGGGAGGTGAGGCCCTGGCACAGGTGCCCAGAGCAGCTGTGGCTGCACCTGGCAGTGCCAAGGCCAGGCTGGACAGGGCTTGGAGCATCCTGGGACAGTGGAGGTGTCCCTGCCATGGCAAGAGTGGCACTGGATGGGCTTTGAGGTCCTTCCCAACCCAAACCATTCCATGATTTTCTGATAAATTGCTTGCTTTCTGCAAGTTCAGAGGAAATGAATAGAATAGCAAATCACCTCTTTTTTTCAATTTTGGTGCATTTAAAATCTGCTATTTTAATGAAAATGTTATGGAAAAGGTACTTGAGCACAACAGATCAACAAACTGACAGTCTTTTACAAATTACTACACAGCAATTTTTATGCATTATTATGAGGTTTATAGAAAAACAGTGTACCTATACTTCATTTCAAATTAACATTATGGATATGCGACCCTCTGATGTCTATTTTTTATATAATATTGGTTATTTAAAATAATTAATAACTATAATTTAAATTAAGACTGTTGGAGTCTTACAGCATTCTCTTTTAAACATCATTTAACTGAGATTTGAATGAACAAGACAGAATAATAAATGAGACTATTAAAGTGTATGAATAAAATGCAACTGTTTATCTAAAATTGATCCATGTCACATAACTTTGCCTAAAATAAATGGGTTGTTTTTCTTTGACTCCATCAGAAATATTGTCCTATAAATATTTATATTAATACATTAGGAACTTTGAAATAAAAGTGAAGTAACTTTCTTGACATTTTTGCTGGCAAGAAAAGGACTGTGAAAATTCCAAACTTTTAACTCACCTTGACTGTATGAAGTTCACGAGCCATATTCTTACATTTATTAGCAGTTGGAGCCTAAGGTTAATTTATGATTCATTTATCCATGTTTATTTTTTAATGATTAATCTTATATAGTTCTGGGAAAAGGTGCAGACCATAATGTATTCTTTTCTAAAAGCTATTAGGTATTATGTGCTCTTTCTTGGCTGATAAGTCATAGTCTGTCACTGAATACATTGCAGAAAGTGAATATATTTCTTTTATTTTTGAAATTAAAGGGAAGATTATGGCCTTGCCAGAGCATGAGCATTTTAGATACTGCAAGATCTCTGCTTTCAACTGCATGTTGTAAAAAATTGCCCTTGTCTTATTTCCTTACAAACCCTTGTGAGTGTCTGTCTTATCCCGTATTTATCTGAGTGCTGTAAGATTCTGCTTGCCCTCTAAAACTGAGGGGTCAAGATTGCAAAGGAAATTATTTCTCATGAACAATAAGATCAAAAAACTGGTATTTTAACTTTCAGAAATATATTTTTGTGTTGACAGAGCACATGATAATAAATCCATAGGAAAACATATAAGTAAATATGAGGAAGATATCCAGCAATTCCTGCACTGAGAACCCAAGCTAACAGGATAATATAAAAATTGGTTTTATTGATATCACTTTTTTTTTTCTATTAGTCAATCTCTGTGATCTGGATAAGTCAAAAGAGCTTTGTTTAAAGTATTCTAGAATTCAGGAAAGTGAATTACAAAAAAAAAAACCTGAAGATTTTTAAAAGCAAGACATTTCACAGAACTATTGTTAGATATCATATTGTAGTAAAATACTGAGATAAATGGTTGATGAAGCAAATAATGAAAAGTCTATAAAGAGAAACTTTTGGCTAATTAGTTTATTTCATTATTTGGTTAGACCTGACAGTGTTTGCTATTTGAAGTGTTCCAAAGGTAGGTGATTGTTCTCTACGTGATTGAAAGAAACATCTCACATAGTGTGGTATAGCAGTATATATTGTTTTCATGAGAATATAAAAAAATTTATTTTATTTTATTTTATCAGACAGGAAGCTTTGCTCGCTGCAATTAGTGAAAAAGATGCAAATATTGCCTTGCTTGAGCTGTCTGCTTCAAAGAAAAAGAAGACTCAAGATGAAGTAATGGCTCTTAAACGAGAGAAGGACAGATTAGTACATCAGTTAAAACAGCAGGTGGGGAGACTTTACTTTTCATACTTTCATAGCAACAGAAAACTGTTTTATTTGTACTGTTTTATGCTGATGTCCTTTTGGAAGTGTTCAAGCCAGGTCTGACACATGTCAGCAGTTGCACAAGGTAGGATGTGTTCCATTTATGTGTTTATTGCTTCTCTGGAGTTGTTAAGGATTAGCTGCACATTTGCTTGGCTCATATTATATGCAGCTAATACATTTTGTTTTCCCTCTTCATATGGTTTCCAGCCTTAATTCTGTGAAAGAGGACAGCAGATGCTCTTTGCATAAAGCAAGTTCTGTCCATTCTGTTTACTCTTTTTAACCTCCTCTTGTTCAGTTATTTGCCTATCTGATGTAAAATAATTTTGTTTTCAGAAGGCTTCAGGCTTTTTGAGAGGTTATCTAGAAATTGTGATTATCCTTAAAATAAATTCTCAAATGGATAAAAATCACTGTGTCTTCAACATTATAAGTAATTTGAGGTTTAAATAAAAAAGTATACAGTTTAAAAAAACTTCTAGAAACAGATATTATCACATATCTTCTGGCCATGATGCAGTTGTCTCTCAGGTCAGTCAGCTGCCCAGGATACATTTCATCAAAATCTATATGATAAATAGGCAGACATGCTTCATGCTTTTTATCACTTATCATTGTGCTGCACCAGAGCAGATGCTGTTGAGTTCCAAATAATTTTAGGGATTTTTGTTTTGGTTTGCTTTGGAAAAGAGTGGGTACTTATTTTCTTTTTTAGACATCTCCCTTTTTTGCCTTCATCTTAGGTTACTGAAGAGTAAATGAATACACCCCTTTGCCATGTTCCATGATACCTTTAAATATTGTGGATTTAAAAAAAATGTCCATCAGAGAACTCAGCAATCGTTTTGTTGTTGTGCTTGTTTTGTTTTGGTGTTGTACCTTTAAGCTGTAGCTGGAAAGTGTTCAAAACTTTATTCAGACAGAGAGAAGGAAGAAGATTGCTAGAGAAGCATTGTGTTGGATAACTTCAGTTAGAATTGTAACCAAATACTTCAAATACCTCCATTATTTATAGCGATAAAGATCTTCAGTAAAGCTATTCAACTAGATTAAATTGATGCCAAAATAATCTCCCTGTTATCTCAGACACCACAAAAAAAGAGTCACCAGGAACAGGAATGTGGTTTAACTAGGTCACCCCTTTACTACACTTAAGAATTATCTGATAATAGAGGTTGTAGACTTCACTCATACTTCTTTAATCCCTTTGGGGAGAACCACTCTCTGCCCCCAGAGGTTTCTGATGTGCATCCAGCACAAAGCCCTGCTCTGACCTTGCTGGGCAGGGGCAGGGGCAGATCCCCCTGTGTGGTTCAGTTCCTCTGTTTCCTTGAGAGATGCTCTCTCGAGCTATTTCTGATCCTCAGGAACCTCAGTGAATATCCAGCTGCAGCATTGCTTGTTTTCTTCTGCTCTTATTTGTCCCACCCTCCATTTCCACTGTTGATACACTGCTGAAAGAGAGAATTCAAAAAAGACCAGTTTCTCCAGCCTAATGCAATCATCAAAGGAGAAATATTTATAAATATTAGAAGATGAATCACTAGATAATGCTAAACATAAAGCCCTAAATTCATCCCTGTTCTATATTATAACAGGAATTTTTACTTTGAGAGGCAAAATAACATATTGGTCCATGATTAAAAATTCTTATTCCTCTCATATACATCCATATTTTCTGGCCTTTGTGAATGTTGAATACATTGTGTAAACCCCTATTAATACATTGATTTTAAAATAATTTGTCACAATTTTTCACACTACAAAATAAAAAGAGGCATCTCAGAGAAGTGAAATATTCTGCCTTTGTCAGGAAATGGGAATATTTATGATTTATTTTAATAAAGCTACAGATAGGCATGTCATATTTTAAAGATTAAAATGTTATTTATATGAATGTGTTGAGCTATCTTTTTATGGATTGTGACTGTGTGAGTTTAAGTAAATGTTCTGTTATTTTTAAGCTGGAAGAGAGAATTGTTTTTATGTCAAAACCTAGATAACCTAGAAAAATTATTTGCATCACAGTGTATTCAGCTGTAAAATTAGTAATAATAATTCTGACCTCTGTGTTGTAAACACATTTTCTCACAAGAAACAAACATTTAATTGTAAAAATTTAAATACAATTTAGCAGCTGCAATCTGTCAGTTAAATATTTCTTGCTTACTGCTTAAATAATTGGGAAACATAATAATGCACTCCCAGCAAAACAAGACCACTGGCATTGCTTTGATTTATAGACCAAATGCTACATTTTGAAAGCTGTAGTACTTTGTAGTAGGCTTAAAAAAAAACCTTTCAGTAATACAGTATTAAACAAAATTACCATGTGGTCTTGGCTGAGTGATTAAATAATGTGCATAATCACCCTGGCCAAGATTCCTTTTGAGAATTCTGAGAAGGTATTTTTAGATAAATTTGTACAGTGATGCAATCCTTCATGAAATAATTAGCTAAAAAAATCAATTTTTGGAATGTCTCAAGAGATTTTTGGGAAGAACAGAAGACACTGCTGTTATTGATTCATCCTGAATTTGGATACTGAGAGAAAATGTCCCAGTTGTCTCTTTTCACTTGTAGGATATAGTGCCAAAAATGTAAGTGCAGTTGGCCAAAATGCAAGGTCTTCTAACTCCTTGAGAGCATTTTATTTTTCTTCTCAAAACATGAAATTGGAAACCTTTCCAGTACTTTCAGGGCTGCAGGTGTACAGAATACTCTGGCCAGAGGCAAAGCTGGTGTTTGGCAGAATTTTTTAGTTCACTGCTCTATATTTCATCACATCAACATATTGCTAATGCAACAAAAAGGGTGAGAAACAATCAAGGAATTTTAAAAATGTGTGTTATCACGCTTCCTCAGCAAACTAACAGCTAGCAATATTTTCTTCTGCATGCAATACACAGAATTATTTCTTACTAATTAACCTGTAAATATTTTAAAAAGCTCTTTCACCAGCAAATGAGTAAAGTGGAATTGTGGGCAGTGTGTTGCCTTTCATATACTGTTCCAGTTAAATACTTCAGAAACCTTGCTACTCTGATATTATGGTGGTAACATCAAGCATTCAAGAATAACAAAATAGCCCAAGTTGTATTTTCCCTGATTAATTCAGCTTTATTGCACTGTGTATTTTATGATATTGAAAGGGTTTATTTTACTGTATGAGAAAAAGAATATTACTAGAAGTTGTTGTGATTATGATTATTCTGGCAGCCTAAAATATTTTTCTGCAGCACTGTGAATTAATTAATTGCATTTAAGCTCTCTAGATGTTTAACAAGTGTGGTAGCAGAAAAGTCAGGCACTGTTTTTTTACAGTGTCATTACAGACATTGTTATCTGCAGCACTTGTGAACAGCAGCAGCTCTGGGGTTGGTTCCTCATCACTGTTGCTTCAGTTTTAGATGCTATACTAATTTCATCTTTCTGATTGCCTTGAATTGCACAGGTGTGAGTATTGTAGGACCACATTAATTTTATTATTATTCTTGTTGTTATTGTATTGCTGCTGCTGTTTACACAGATCTGCTTCAGGCAGACATTGATTGTGAGTTGAATTGTGCAGTATTACTGCACAGTGAGTAGAATCCATGTTAAGAAGCCATTCACATGGGTACTGCAGACATAATTGGCCACTCTGCTTCTTTTTTACCTCTTGGGTTTATGCTGTTTACTATTACTCATAATATTGGTCTTGTTCAAGCTTTAAGCGCCTAATTTTAAACGAAAGAGAAGTTTGAGACCCTTGAATTTTAGTTTTATTTCTGTTGCACTTATACTACACAGGTTCATTGTTTATTTTGGACAGGTAAGAATAGATGGCCTAATAATTTCCTAATCAGCCTGGTTGTTTTTTCCTTAAAAGTTCTCGGCAAATGTAAGAAAATGACTTTTACTCTCTGATTTTAATGTGGCTGTTCAGATCCCATTTATGTCAATACAAGGCATTCAGTGGCCTTACTATATTAAAAATCTTTTTAGTTTATACTTTTCTATTAAGTAGAAATAGCCTAAAGTAATATTTCTGCATGTCTCAACACTGGGGTTCATCTTCCTAATTTTTGATCTGATTTTTAATCTGTGTTTTTGAACACGGGTCATGACAGTGATTGCAAGTGGATTGCATCTCAGTTTTGCCCAGTGCAGGTTCCTGTAGGGGTGGAAGTGCAGTGCCACTTTTCCCTGTAGCTTAACACAGGAGGGGCACAAGGTGGGCAAGGCAATGTGTGAGTGGAGCTAAAAGCCTTTGCCTGAACAGTTTAGTTGATTCAAAAGACATTCTGTGTTGGAAAAGTACTGAAAATGTTGGCATTGCTCTCATAACACTTTTCACATATTCTCAGTAAGAACTGACAATTTATATCATAAAATTTGATGGACTCAGGTCATAGCTGGATATGGCATCACTTTTTCCTCCTTATGCTCTCAGGAATCCAAAGTCTTTTGCATGGTATTTTTACAGAAACCCTTTCCAATCAGAGGGGCATCTTTTGCCTTTAGCAGTCAGCCCCTGAAAGCACCACAGCCTTGGTACATGAGCCCTTTCCTGCTTTAAAATCTGTTTTTCTTTGTTCTCTGTTCAGAGTTTTTTGATTCTTGAAGGATCTGTGTCACAACATAAGCCAGGCTGTGGCTCAAGGCAGCCTTTTTTCACTGGTGATAATCTGGTCTTGAATTTATCCTAGAACTTTGTTCAGACAAATGGTTTAACTTCCCTAAAACTGAAAATCTTAAATGGAAAAAGTAGGTAATGCAGATATAAAATAATATATATATTAGCACTGGAACTTTTGTAATTCTGGATCTGACTTGCTTGGTAGGGTGAAAATGGTTATTAAGTACCTCAAATAAGAATAGTGAATATCCCCATTATAACAATCTGAGCTCCCAAGCCAAAAGGATTTTTCTCCATGTGACATGTTTTAAACAAATCCTTATGTTCTACTGCAATG